GGTTATGTACCTATACCAAGGCAAGCCAAGACATGGTTATGTACCTATACCAAGGCAAGCCAAGGCATGGTTATGTACCTGTACCAAGGCAAGCCAAGGCATGGTTATGTACCTATACCAAGGCAAGCCAAGACATGGTTATGTACCTGTACCAAGGCAAGCCAAGACATGGTTATGTACCTATACAAAGGCAAGCCAAGGCATGGTTATGTACCTATACCAAGGCAAGCCAAGACATGGTTATGTACCTGTACCAAGGCAAGCCAAGGCATGGTTACCGTAATTCCTCAAATAAAGACCGGTATTCAAATAAACGCCGGGCCTCTGATAGTGGCCGGGGGCGTGGTCAACGCGGACAAATAAAGGCCGGTCTCAAATTAAGGCCGGGGAAAAATTAGTGTACACTCAAAGACGGACTCGCTCAGCGGTTGTCATATCACAACTATTCAGTGGTTTTAACCACATGTTTATTTTAGGTTTCAGACATTTAAATAGATATGATTTATAGCAAAACAATACATTTATAGTTTGTAAAATACACAATGGTGTCTATGGAAGCAGCAATAACAATCCATTCAAATATATTTGGCGACGTGTTTTATTCATATCAGATACACAGTGTAAGTAACTATAAAGTTTACTCTATTCTTCTCCCAGTTAACCGGCCACTTACTTTCATGTATTTCGGGAGAAACTGAAGAATTCACGCGCTGTAACGTAACAAATCCAACAGACAGGAATCTCTGAACTGCGGTGCCCATCTCACGTTACAGATCAAGATCATTTATAAAGGGTTTTAAAGGACAAAACAAACTCACTTACACGGATTTGAGAGTCAGAATAGAAGATAGTTGATGACATGGTAAGCAAGTTTGTTAATATTTAGAAATAAAAGCGCTACATCTGTCATACAGCGATATTTTGGCTGTGGTGAACATGTGCCAAGCATGACGCGTCACCATGGAAACTTGGCTGGCGGGCGGGCGGGGATCGCGAATTAGAAATAAAGGCCTGCCTCTAATAAAAGCCTGCTTCAAATAAAAGCCGGCTACCATCTGCAGTTCAGGTAAATAAAGGCCCCGGTCTTTATTTGAGGAATTACGGTATGTACCTATACAAAGGCAAGCCAAGGCATGGTTATGTACCTGTACCAAGGCAAGCCAAGGCATGGTTATGTACCTGTACCAAGGCAAGCCAAGACATGGTTATGTACCTGTACCAAGGCAAGCCAAGACATGGTTATGTACCTGTACCAAGGCAAGCCAAGGCATGGTTATGTACCTGTACCAAGGCAAGCCAAGGCATGGTTATGTACCTGTACCAAGGCAAGCCAAGGCATGGTTATGTACCTGTACCAAGGCAAGCCAAGACATGGTTATGTACCTGTACCAAGGCAAGCCAAGACATGGTTATGTACCTATACAAAGGCAAGCCAAGGCATGGTTATGTACCTGTACCAAGGCAAGCCAAGGCATGGTTATGTACCTATACCAAGGCAAGCCAAGGCATGATTATGTACCTATACCAAGGCAAGCCAAGACATGGTTATGTACCTATACCATGGCAAGCCAAGGCATGGTTATGTACCTATACCATGGCAAGCCAAGACATGGTTATGTACCTATACCAAGGCAAGCCAAGACATGGTTATGTACCTATACCAAGGCAAGCCAAGGCATGGTTATGTACCATGGATTGTGATTCAAGGGTCGCAACAACGCAGTTCAGAATTTGCCCTTACAAGTCTCCATGTAAGCATTAATTGTGTTGCACATGCTGCTGCCTATTAAGTGTTCCAAATGAGTCACTTAAGAGATCCCATGACAATCAGGATGCTCCCTTAAAAGGGATCTACCTATAGAGTGAGACAGCTCAGTAGGTTTTGGATCAGAGCCTTGCCTGTGCAAAAGTTCTGACAGCTGCCCTGAAGCTTAGTAAGCAGAGGTGAAATGTTTCATGCCCTCATGAGAAAAATGAGAGGCATTTTAATTTAGAGACTGATTATGAATTAAAACATGATAATGTCACTGTCACACCACAAAATGTAAATAATATAATGAAGAAGTGACACATTTCAATCTCCAGAGAAGCCATGTTCAAAAGCTGGTAAGTTCTGTTCTCGTTTCTGTAACTGTACAAATCAGAAGTGAAATTATTTTGTAGTTTTGCCACTTTTCCTTCACCTGTAGCAGTGTGGCTTTAAAAAGACAACAGTAAAACGGCACTGTTTAAATTCAGGCAAGAGATGAAGGCAAATGAAAGGGTTATCAGTGATTAATTGAATTGTACAAGTGCCAACGAGTTAAAATACCTGTGTAACCGCCATTTTTGATATATAACTAATGAGACATTTAAATGTTCTACCCACTTGTCACTGAATTTCTTTTATAATTTCCTAGACACAAGTAATTGGGTCGGGAGTTTTGGGAATGCTTCACGTTTAAGTGCTGTAGTTTTAAACCTTATACATTTTTTTTTGTTCTAACTTTAAAGGTTTATTTCTTACAGTTATTTTAGATGCATACTCAGATCTTGTCAATATATATATACTGTATATATATATATTATTTATAGGCTATAAGCTAGTGTTACGGTTGGTGTAGGCAGAGGAAGACGAGGAGAACAGGATTTCCAAAAACAATATACTTTACTTAATAATCAAAACAATAAACAGGAGCAGACGGGCAGAGGATACAAACACACCTAATACCAACGTTACATAAACGAGAACCGACAAGGAGTGAGGGAGAACACAGGGTTTACATACACAGAGAACAGATTAGGGAAACAAGGCACAGCTGGGGCAAATGAACTAGACACAGGTGAATAAACTAAACACTAACGAGGAGCGGGAAACTGGAAACAGGACTGAACCAAATACACAAAGAACGGGGGAAACACAGGACATACATGTAACATTAGCTCCCCCTCCTGCAAGGCGCGTCCTCGCGCCGAGTAACATCAATAAGGGTGGGGGGGTGGGCGCCCTGGAGGCTGACGAGGGAGTGGCCTACCCGGAGCAGGAAGCCTCCAGGGCGGAGCAGGACATGCAGGAGGCCAGGGCGGAGCAGGACGTGCAGGAGGCCAGGGCGGAGCAGGACGTGCAGGAGGCCAGGGCGGAGCAGGACGTGCAGGAGGCCAGGGCGGAGCAGGACGTGCAGGAGGCCAGGGTGGAGACTTTCCCTCGGGTGGCCAGGGTGGAGACTTTCCCTCGGGTGGCCAGGGTGGAGAGGCCACTTCAGGTGGCCAGGGTGGAGAGGCCACTTCAGGTGGCCAGGGTGGCTTATATCCCCCCCCAAAATTTTCTTGGGGGGAGTGACGGGTTCAGAGACAGGCTTGGGGGAACTGGACGGGACCAGCGGAGAAGGCACGGGAGGACTGGACGGGACCAGCGGAGAAGGCTCGGGAGGACTGGACGGGACCAGCAGAGAAGGCTCGGGAGGACTGGACGGGACCAGCGGAGAAGGCTCGGGAGGACTGGACGGGACCAGCGGAGAAGGCTCTGGCTCGGCAGGCGCGCAGGGAAGCTCCGGCTCGGCAGGCGTGCGGGGAAGCTCCGGCTCAGCAGGCGTGCAGGGAAGCTCTGGCTCGGCAGGCGTGCAGGGAAGCTCAGGCTCGGCAGGGCTGCAGGGAAGCTCAGGCTCGGCAGGGCTGCAGGGAAGCTCAGGCTCGGCAGGGCTGCAGGGAAGCTCAGGCTCGGCAGGGCTGCAGGGAAGCTCAGGCTCGGCAGGGCTGCAGGGAAGCTCAGGCTCGGCAGGGCTGCAGGGAAGCTCAGGCTCGGCAGGGCTGCAGGGAAGCTCAGGCTCGGCAGGGCTGGACGTGACCAGCTGTGCGGGCTTGGCTGGGCTGGACGGAACCAGCGATGAGGGCTTGGCTGGGCTGGACGGAACCAGCGGTGCGGGCTTGGCTGGGCTGGACGGAACCAGTGGTGCGGGCTTGGCTGGGCTGGATGGAACCGGCTGTGAAGGCTCGGCTGGGCTGGACGGAACCAGCGGAGAAGGCTCGGGAGGACTGGATGCATGGGCCAGAACTGATCGAACTGCAGACAAAATCGCCGCAGACATCACCATCAATGCAGTCTCCTCTTGAGTGGACTTACGTGTGGTGTGCTTAGTCTCTGGCGGATAGGCGTGCTCCAGTAGTGAAGGCGGCTCAGGCTCTGGCGGGCAGACGACGGGCTCAGGCTCTGGCGGGCAGGCGACGGGCTCACTACTGGACGGGATCGGCGGAGAAGGCTCTGGAACGATGCCCCATTTGGCAGCATGTGCTGACATCAACGGGGGATCGGCCATGCTGGAAACCAGTCCCGATTTCCCATAGACCGATCTGGGGGCTGGACTGATAGTGGGCGTGACGTAGAGAAACTCTGGAAGGGTGCTGGCGAGATCCTCTTCTCCAGAGCATACTGTGAATGTAGAATTACAGCACACCAGCACCCATTCCACAAAGGCGGCAAAATCATCCCGTGGACCTTCTCCGGACAACTGCGCTCTGCACGAGCCGTTTAGACTCACCAGATAGAATGTGCAGAGGCAGTAGTCCGGGTAGTGAGTCAAATACGCCGTCTCAAGAAAGGTCTGGGTGTGGTCCTCCAAAGTTTGATCCCCCTGTTCGAGACATAGGAGGCGAACAGCGGGGATAGTCATCTTACGGTCGGTTCTTCTGTTACGGTTGGTGTAGGCAGAGGAAGACGAGGAGAACAGGATTTCCAAAAACAATATACTTTACTTAATAATCAAAACAATAAACAGGAGCAGACGGGCAGAGGATACAAACACACCTAATACCAACGTTACATAAACGAGAACCGACAAGGAGTGAGGGAGAACACAGGGTTTACATACACAGAGAACAGATTAGGGAAACAAGGCACAGCTGGGGCAAATGAACTAGACACAGGTGAATAAACTAAACACTAACGAGGAGCGGGAAACTGGAAACAGGACTGAACCAAATACACAAAGAACGGGGGAAACACAGGACATACATGTAACAGCTAGCACATAGGAACATCTCAGAAGTGTAATGCCATCTGCTGACCACAGCACAGTTTCACACAGAATATTAAAAAACATCTCATCCTTATAATGCTGTAATGCAGAAGCGTCATGTCATTTGAACAAATTTTCTGAAAAGAGGACTTATTATTTCTAGCTTAGAAAATTTCTTGAAAAGTTGTTTTAGGTAAAAAAGCTGTTTGTCTAAAACGTGACCAAAATCATATCCTTCGCTCATGCTCTTACAAGCATAAAATAACTAAGATGGGATATAAGTGCACTCAATATAAAAAGCTGCTTGTGCATTTACATTTATGCATTTGGCAGACGCTTTTATCCAAAGCAACATACATTGCATTCAAGGTAATACATTTTATCAGTTCATGCATTTGGGACCTCCCAGAGAAAGCATACATTTTACCGCATTTTAACTGAATAAGCAAACAAATCCAAAAGAAGACATGATGTTTTTCTTTTCTCTACATGTGCATGAAACTAGACCTCTTTCATGACATATCACTGATGGACTTTCTTTTCACAGATAAACTTATACATAGAATTGCAGGAAACATCAAACCAATTGTTTGAATAGTTGGAAGATTTTTTCACAATAGCACAATTCTCTCCATCGGCGCCGCCTCCGCTCCAGTTATCAGGTTCACTTTTCTGAGAGACCCTCTGGTACCAAAACCTTCAAGAGCAGAAACAGGAGGTCAGGGTTAAAACCATATTCTTCCTTCTGATAATATATATAAAAAAAAGACTATTTTATGTAAAACATGGGTTCTCAAACTTTTTGGGGCCAGGGACCCTTTATAGGGTAGAAAATGTTCAAGGACCCCCTCAGTTAATGAGTATGAACTACAAGAATGGTCTCCATCTGTAAATATGCACTTTTCAGTAACAGCATTTTCTGGAAAATCAGTTGCACCCAAGTAGTCGCCCTGGGTCAAGCGTAAGTTGTTGAGAGAAAACAAATATATGCATAAATCCTTTTCAATTTAACGTAATTCAGAACAAAACAAGAATGAAAAATAAAAATAGCCTGCAAAATAAAGAGTGTCATTACACTAATTAATTAATTAATAGTAATTACAAACCACATTAATTTTACAATTATTTAAAACGAAACTGAAACTGCCGTTGGGTTCCTCTCTCATTCGGCACAAATCCAAATGTTTCCACATTCGCATGTATTTGGATGCTAAACTATTATTAATTATGTAAACAAAGCTTTGTACTTCACTCTTGTCCCAATATCCACGTAAAATATCCCAATATCCAGCATCCTTCACATGCTCAAAAATTGTATTGCATGGTGCGATGATAGGGCGGTGGTCACGCTGAGGCAAAGCCTACATATTGAAGAATGCAAATGCGGCCCACGATATACCAACCACATTTAAAAAATAAATTCCAGTTTTAAATTTTGTTTTGTTTTCAGATTAAATTAAAATGGTTTAAACAAATATAAGTTTGAACTCTAATGTTTTTTGTCACATCAAATAATTTTGGTGATCATTATTTTCAGACATGCGCAGACCTACTATGTAGCCTACTAACGCAACGCAGTTAACGAACACTTACAAGCACGCTTTGATGACTTATAATGGAATCTATTAGGGTGATCACCCAAAGGCACAATAGAGTAATATGGTTGAGTTTCTGGTTGAGCATTAATGATACAATTTTGTTCCCTTTCAGTCAGTCATGTTTGACGTAACGTCGACGTCACATGAGTCAATTTTCGGTCTAAAAATAGGAGGCTAAGAACGTATATCATTATATGCTGATGATGTTATATATCCTTCTAATCCTGAATTAGAAAAGGTTGTTAGACAAGATTAACTTTTATAGTGAACCACTTCTGTACACTGTATCTGGAAAAACAATAAATACATTGATAAAAAAAATATGTGTAATATAATAATACGGAAACGGTATAGCAAATTATTTCGCGGACCCCCTGGCTATTGGTCACAGACCTCAATTTGAGAACCGCTGTTGTAAAATATACTATTATTGCAAATATTTTAATGTTCTTTCCTGTAGTAAAAGAGTGTGTTGCATTGATTAACAAACAATTGCAGAGATAGTTCTTACTGTACTCCAGTGTCATTGAGAGTTTGGTTATTCACCCAAACCCAGTCTCCTTCAGTGTCCAGATCATTGAGACCAATCCAGTAATGGTCTTTAAGTTCAGAGTACAGAAACATCTAATAGAGAAAAGGCACATAATTCACAATTATATAAAACAAAAAAATCAGTGGTGAGATGTGATTTTGTAATAAAACATTTTTGTATACTATACCTGTTTATTTGGTTCAAAATCACATTGTGCAGTATAGTTGTCTTACCTGTTCTGATTGGTTGGTTATGGTCACCAGATCGGCTCCTTTTGAAACACAGAAAGCACGACTGCTTGGCCAGGTGAGTTGATCAGAGCTGAAGTAGTACAACTTTCCTCCCCAATCTTTCAACTGAATGCTGAAAGATGGGAATGCTGAAATAGTTATAAAAACAAAAACATATGATAATGATACATTCTTCAGATCATAAAAATCTTGAAGGTAATCAAAGTTTGGTTTGATGTGCAGAAATATTCAAACACTTTGTCTAAGCCTGTGTCATGTGTCTAGCAGAGAAATAGCTTACCTTTGTAAAAGAACAGTTGCTCTTTAACTCTGGTGTAGTTTTCTGTGAGCTCTTTCACCATGAATGATACAGAAAGTTATGAATAACATAAAATAAAAATAATAACAAAACTGACAAAATTATGTAGTAATTTATCTTTACAAATGGTTAATGAAATGTTGTAGGCCTACTGGGTGCACTTTACTCACTTGTGCTGTTGGTCTCCAGGGCAGACAGTTGCATTGAAACACCGACATCTGATTGGAGAAAAACAATTGCAGAGGTATTTTATTTAATTTTTTTGGTAACGCTTTAGATTACAGCCCGGAAAGTACTGCGTAATTAAAGCAATTTTACAGCGTAACCTTCGGTAATTATAGTGTTTGTACTTACAATATAAGTATAAGAGAACAATATTTTAAGTTTGGGGAATAAAGGGGTAACAACCAGGAGAATTAAAAAAATTATTTATACTGTAAGTATTAAGGGTAACTTATTCTACTATTATGATATAACAATCTTACATTTGGGATCAATTTAGCAAGAACATATACTGCGTACCTTTTTGAAATAATAGTGAACCAGTACATACTGTATACTTTATAAATGCATAGATGTACCCTGTCATTTTTAAAATGTAATCTTTTTAACAAAAGTGCACTGAAAACGAAAACTATTGCAACTTTTGCTTAAATATTGTGGAAAGATACTCTTGTTTCATGTAGCTTGTTACCCCCTTGTTCGATGTAGTTACAGGGTAAGTGTGACATTGCGGGCTGTAAATTAAAGTGGTGCTTTTTACCCCCTTGTTCCATGTAGTTACAGGGTAACAATAAAAATGTATACACACAATCTTATATCACTGACTCAGAAACCTTTATTTATTATAGAAGCACCGCTTACCCTGTAACCACATGAAACAAGATATATTTCAATGAAAAAAACAATGAAATTTCTTGCCTTGAAACATTTTAGCCCAACTTAAACATCTGCACTTTTACTATCATAAAATAAATAAATAAAAGTATAAATGCATAGATATGTACCCTGTAATTTAAAAAAAGCCTATACAGTATGTATTGGTATACAATTATTACAAAAAGGTAAGCAATGTGTATGTTCTCGCTAAATTGCTCCCAAATGTAAGATTGTTGTATCATAATAGTAGAATAAGTTCCCCTTAGTTCTATAATATTTACAGTATAAATATTTTTTTAATTCTCCTGGTTGTTGCCCCTTTATTCCCCAAACTTTACATATTGTTCCCTTATACTTACATGCAAGTACTTTATAGGTACACTATAATTACTGAAAGTTACTCTGTAAATTCCTCTTAATTACACAGTACTTTCCAGGCTGTACTCTAAAGCGTTACCATTTTTTTTAATTTAGAGTTCAGAAAGCCCTGTTTTTAGCGCCACTGGAGGCTGTTAAGTGAACTGCAGCAGCAACTGCACGATTTCCTCTCAATAATCAGTGGTGAGAAGCAGCAGTTGAGAAAGTATCTGATTATATCTTGTGGATATTTTTGCAATAAAAAAAGTGATTAATACATGAAAATTCTTACATATAGGCCCTTTAAGACTATAAACAAGAGCCAGTGAGAAACAATGATTACTGAGTGCTAGGGGTGTGACGATACACTTTGTTCACGAGATGAGATGATACACGATATTGGGTTCACGAGAACGAGAAGAGACAACATTAAAGGTACACTTTTTTGCACGTTTTATCAGCTAAAATCAATATCTTTATTAATAAATATGTCCTCATTGGTGTAAAATTACCTCTGCCAATTATCTGACTTATCCTCGTAAGCAAAGAGATAGCTCATGACGTCATAAAAGGTGAAGCCACCGCGCCGCCATATTGGTATTCCCTAGTGAGCTCACACGTTCTATTGAATCAATAGAAAATTGTATTATTTGACTGAGAAAACATTGCGTAACGAGACACCGTTTTTAAAGGAAGAGGCGGATGGAGAGGAGGAGGAGGAGGAGGGAGAGGAGGCGGAGGAGGAGGAGGAGGAAGAGAATGAGGAGGGGGAGGAAGAGAAGGAGGAGGGGGAGGAAGAGAAGGAGGAGGGGGAGGAAGAGAAGGAGGAGGGGGAGGAAGAGGAGGAGGAAGAGGAGGAGGAAGAGGAGGAAGAGGCAGAGGAGGAGAATGAGGAGGGGGAGGAAGAGAAGGAGGAGGGGGAGGAAGAGAAGGAGGAGGGGGAGGAAGAGAATGAGGAGGGGGAGGAAGAGAAGGAGGAGGGGGAGGAAGAGAAGGAGGAGGGGGAGGAAGAGAAGGAGGAGGGGGAGGAAGAGGAGGAGGAAGAGGAGGAAGAGGCTGAGGAGGAGAAGGAGGAGGACCACAAGCAACATGACTTGCCAGTTTTGGACATGTTGTTTTGAATTTATAGCACTAGTGTGTAAGACTATGTTATTTTTGAGGGCTTGTGTGTCCTGTCTGAGGGCAAAGTTTGGTTTTTCAGCAAGAGTGAATGGTTTTGAGTGTAGAGCCATTTTGACCTGAAAATAGGATGTTTGGGGAATTGGGTGAGACGTTATGGATTTGTGTTTACTGTTTTGAGAATACGAGGCATAGTTTCAAGAAATGTGTTTAAGCAATCGAGAAAAACTAATAGAAAGTTAAGTGGAAGGGAAAAGTGTGGTAATCTTCTGTAGTTATATCGTGCACTAAGACCGACGGAAAATGTAAAGTTGTGATTTTCTAGGCTGATATGGCTAGGAACTATACTCTCATTCCTGCGTAATAATCAAGAAACTTCACTGCCGTACCATGAGAGCAGCAGGCGTAATGATATGACGCAGCGCCTGAAAATAGTTCCGTTGTGTTGACAGAAGGTAGCCTATTTTCAGGCGCTGCGTCATATCATTACGCCTGCTGCTCTCATGGTACGGCAGTGAAGTTTCTTGATTATTACGCAGGAATGAGAGTATAGTTCCTAGCCATATCAGCCTAGAAAATCGCAACTTTACATTTTCCGTCGGTCTTAGTGCACGATGTAACTACAGAAGAGTCAAGTTTTAAATAGGAAAAATATCGAAACTCTTTGGTCATTTCTTTTTTAGAAATGCTAATGGTCTTGTCCACTTCAATGATGTATGCTAAGCTATGCTAAAAGTGGTACCGCCAGAACCGGAGATCGGCTGAATGGATTCAAAAACGGTGAAACTCAACAGTTTAACTCTGGGGGAGTTGTAAAATGAGCCTATTTCCAAAAAAAGTGGAGTATCCCTTTAAGTCCAGAGTCAACGCAGCCGTCTACCAGGACATTTTAGAGCACTTCATGCTTCCTTTAGCAGACAAGCTTTATGGAGATGCTGACTTCATTTTCCAGCAGGACTTGGCACAAGCCCACACTGCCAAAAGTACCAAAACCTGGTTCAATGACCATGGGATTACTGTGCTTCATTGGCCAGCAAACTCGCCTGACCTGAACCCCATAGATAATCTATGGGACATTGCCAAGAGAGAGATGAGAGACATGAGACTGAACAATGCAGAAGAGCTGAAGGCCGCTATTGAAGCATCCTGGTCTTCCATAACACCTCAGCAGTGCCACAGGCTGATAGCATCCATGCCACGCCGCATTGAGTAATTCCTGCAAAAGGGGCCCAAACCAAGTATATGCATGATTATACTTTTTAGAGGGCCGACATTTCTGTATTTAAAATCCTTTTTTTAATTGATTTTGTAAGACTGGAAAAACTAGAAGAACTGGTTGAGGAACGACCACTCTGGAAATTACCATTTGAACTCACTATTTGGGATAAAAGTCTCACCTCACCTACATTTCTTTCCCTCATCCCCCACTCCTTCTCCCCCATGTGAAGATCACCAAAAACTCACCCAAGAATCTAAATGGTTTAATGTGAATGATTATCATCGAGTTTTATACATGTTTGGTATCATTTGAAATGTCTCAATGCGACTGGTACAAATGTCTCATTTCCAAATAAGTAAAAAAAAGGTAATAGTCCAGAGTTTAGAGATAACTGACACACAAAGGAATGTGGTCTCTAGACAAATGGTTTCCTACCCCCAAAAGGTGTAACCTCTGAATGCATATCCATTGTTAGCACATGTTTCCACGTGAAATAAGTTTCTGTCTATATCAGGGATGAGCAACTTCGGTCCTGGAGGGCCACTGTCCTACAGAGTTTAGCTTCAACCCTAATCAAACACACCTGAACAAGCTGATCAAGGTCTTCAGGATTACTAGAAAGTTACAGGCAGGTGATTTTTTCAGGGTTGGAGCTAAACTCTGTAGGACAGTGGCCCTCCAGGACCGAAGTTGCCCATCCCTGGTCTTATAATGAAATGTAGCAAGGGGCTCGGGGCCTTCTGTACTTCAGATGAGCCCGTGAGGCTGAGAGTGGCCGAGTCTCTCAGCTTCATGTATTTTCTTAAATGTCGGGTTCGCATTTCTTCTCTTTATTTCAGAGCATTTGATGTTTTGTATTGCATTGATTATGAAATTCGCATGATACATTTACCTGACATAATAAATTGTAAACATTTGATTTTATTCTAAACGACTGACATTATTTCCAGTAAAGAGTTAAAAGAATAGTCAAACATTCGCTCACATTTAATGATGCACAGATATCATTAAAACCTTTTCATTTATGGGGTCAGATGAAATAACAAGAAAATACATATGAGAAAATGTATTGCATTTAATCAAAATACTTTGCCATGAGAAAAGACAGTAACACGTGGACAAGCGGTCAGTCTGTGGACACGACAGAGCGCGCAAGTGGTTTTTTCTTAATATCCAGTTCTCATGTTGTTCAGTTTACTATCTGCGACAAGGTAAGGCTATTTTTGATTCTTTGGTTATTTTAAAGTTCTACCTTCAAACAAATCTGTATTTTAATTAGACGCGTTCCTACTTTAAAATAACAGCCGCGTCTGAAAGTATTGCAGTTTAAATTGTATAGCACTTAAGTGGAGTGCTCTCCAAATAGCTAGTTTTGATTTGTCCCATTTTCGGATTATTTGCTTTTGCTGTGCTAATTGCTGGGCCGGTTCAGCTGTCCTCTAGCCTGGTTAAAACCAGACCATTCTCAG